GAACTGGATGGTATATAAGTCCATCTCTTGAGTATACCCCTTGGGTGTTTTATACCATCTGGCACTGGCTATCTCAAAATATACCTCTTGGGCATACCCTTGAGTTTTTTTGGGATAGTTGGAACCGGAATATCGTCCTGTCCTTTATTTATTTTTTTTTAAAAAAAAGACACTTACTGCTACCTATGTAAGCCCTGTGATGGCTCCATGCTCGTGGAGGCCTCAAAGAAAATTTAAAAATAATGTCTTTTAATAATCGAATTTCGGTAAATAAAGTTTCTATTAATGCTTATAGTTGTGATATTAATAATTTTATCAGGCAACTGAAATACTAATCTTATTCTTTCTATCCCACAAAAATAATTCATATAGTAAATTTTTAATTGTAATCAAACGATTTACAATTTACTTTGTAAAATATTTTTATGGGAGAGAACGTGTATTAAACTAAAGTGAGAATGATTTTTTTTTCTTTTTTGATAAACTGATGTGAGAATGTTGCTTCATTAAAACTTTAGAATCATATAAAGAATTTAAAGAGTGGCTTGGAAAAATTTTGGGAGAGGAAGGGGAATGAATACCAAATTGAAATATTTAAAATTTTGACTTATATCATGTTTATCAAAATAGGGATTTAAGTTAAATAGTAGCCATTAATTTTTCTCATTTTATTATATGACTTCCTAATACATCATTTGATGATACTAAAAATTAGAATAATACTTTAATTTGGTGACATTATTATTGGATAATTAATAATGCATGGTATGATATAGAATTTAAAAAGAATATTTGAGTATAAACTTATCAAGGAACATAATGATGACACTATAAAATAGATAGTAAACACACTTATCATGTCAAACATTTTTTGTAATGTAGACTTTTATTAAATTCCTATAATTTTTATGAACAATTATTTTAAAAAATAATTACAATAAAAAAATTCCTAATATGGGTGACAAGTCGTCATCGCACTTGTCTAATATAAATTACCTACTCAATGCAAATATTAGTAGCAAAGCAGAAAGTAGTAGCATGCAAGTAGTGATCAAGTACTTGATGGGTGTTGAACCCATCAAATAAAATCAACTTAAAACTTGTAGCATGTGATAAGAAGAGTCGATTCCACGGAGACCGAGAATATCAAATAAAATTAGGTTTAAGGTCGAGAATGGAAAGTTCTCAGCTAATTGCGACTTGCGCAAGTGACTAAGTGACTTGACATAGTAGATTTAAAACCTAGGGTCGTCCTCTTCTCTATTTTATCCAGTAAGATTCGATTTTATTGCTCTCTTTATTGTATAAAATTGTGTTCAATCAGACATTTATTGTAAGATAACTTTCGATTGTTCCAGACAGAGTCCTAATAGCAATAAATCAACTAACTTGTTGCTAATTCAGGAATACGACTAGGCTATTAAGTTCTTAAACCTTTATGATTGCCTTGAGCTAAACAATTAACTTCGGTTGTTATTTGAAACTTTGTGTTGTTACTCTCTTGTCACTGGATAATCATAGACTTTCTAAGTTAAGTTTACCTTTCAGGGATTCCCTTAACATGCATGTACAATTAGTTAAGTGACTAATTCAATAAAAAGGTAAATTCAAACTATGAGTATCATCTGAGAGTTAAATCAAAACATGCTTGCATAAAATAGAATGATTAGCCCCTAGTAAAGAGTTTAGCTACACAAGCTTGGAATCTTAAATACAAAAGAAATGAAGTATAAAAACTCCAACATGATTATAACACAAGGGAAAGAAAACAGGGGAAGATAAGACTTAGGGAATGTGCCTCTGCTCTGATAAATTTGGCAAGTCAGCTTCTCATTTTGCCAAGTGACAACTCTGATTCTACTTCCTACTGATACTATGTTTTTAATTCCTACTGTGGTTTCTAATCTAACTTTGATTTTCTTCCTTCTTTCTCTCGATGCCTTTGCTGCTGAGCTTCTTCTACCTTGTATAGAGGTTGAGAAAAGTAAGCTTGCATAGTTTGGTTGATCTTCTCTGTATCAAGGTGGTCAAGATTGATTTCTTGATTTAAGGGTGAGTCATGCCTCCTCATTCCTCCTCTTTGTCCTCTAAACAACTTTATGGGAGTTATTTATTAGATTAATCTTTTCTTGGCTCAACATTCTCCCTTGAAGTCAGCAACATCCCATCATCTCCATTCTTCCTTAGCCTTGAGGGTTTTGCTTGTTTCTCAGCTCCACACTACTGCTACTGCTGTCGGATTCTCCTCCTTCCAAAATCGACATGAAGTCCAATTGAAACCTTTTTCAATTGCTGCCCAAAACTTCAGTAGTTTGCACTATCTTGCCCACTTTTTTGCTGATTTTGCATTCTAGTCCTTTGATCACAAAAAATCATCAAAACTAATTAGAAATAACTAATTCTTAAGAAATTAAACTAAATTACAATTACGAAAGAGGCAAATAAAGTTTATTGAAATATGTATGAGTTGACTCCCATTAGCCAGCCCAGTTATAAATATCAATAAGGAGTTATATCCCTACTTTCACGACGAGGTCCAAAATTTTTTTTACCTGCTTCGTTTAACATAATCATTATTCGGGTGGACTCATTCACCGAACCGAAACCAAAAAATCTGAACTATTTCATCTGAAACTGATGCAGTTCGGGCGGGTTTTTGAATCAACTCGAATAAGTAACAGCGCTACAAATCTTTCATCCTTCACTTTCCTAGAGCAAATCAAACAAAATACTCTTATAATGACTAAAATACTTTGAGAAACGGTAAATATCATAATAATGACTCAATTCTCCCTTCACTCAGATGCAGTGTCAGAAATAGAATTTTGGATTAGTGCATGCGGAATTAATTTAACAGCTCAAGTACTTAATACTTAAAAACAATAAGCATTAAAAAAATGCCAAATATATACATTTTTTCCTCATTCAAAAATCTAGCTATGACATATTATTTAAAAAAACTACGTCATCAACATTTTATACATTTTTTTGCAACTAGAGATTATAACGTTACATGGGTCAAATATAGTTCTTCACATAAGGCGAGGTACATTTAGAACCAAAAAAAAAAACTCTTATTTATATATAAGAAAAATGCTAATTTTTTTACACTGCATTAAAACGCTCATGGATCTAACACCGGTCATTTGGAAACCAAATGCATATTAGCTCTTTCTAATAAACAAAAAAAAAAAAAAAAAGACAGAGAGAAAAGGTTGCGATCTTGTTCTTGAAAACAAAATCTTGTATTTCATCCGCAAATTAATTTGGAGAGTAATTTGTTAACTACTATTTACTTAGCTTAAGAGTTTAATGTACCGTGGTTATTAGACGCCAAAGTTAAAAACAAAAACAAGGTACCTAGTTGACTAGATCCAGGAATCAGATTGGAGCACACCACACAAACAAAAAGAACTGTTTAAATAAACCAACCAGCCAATATCGAATAAACTGGTTATAAAATCAAGAAAAAAGAAACAAAAAAAAAAAAAAAATCCATTGAATTTTACGTTTGATGAATCGTAGAGAATGTCCAAATTTGCTTTGCATCATATGTACGTAATGTAAAATATTAATAGTCAAATAATCACTTTTGCCTTCATACTTAATTGAGCTAGGCTGCTAGCTAATTAAGCCAGTTTGGCCATTGCATGAATACAAAAGAGCAAGTGGATATTGTCCCCATATTTTCAGTGTATTATACATAATGAAACAGTAATATAATCTGTGTATGTAAATACTGCATATCCATTTGGTAAAAATAAGCTGTTTTAACTTATACACATAGTATGCATTTTTTTTTTCCCTCTTTTTTTTGCTTATGGGCAAGATGCTGAAATTTGCAAGCGTAAAAGTTCACTCTTCTAATCACAGGTAGATGCAGGCCAGATTTCGACTCCTTGTGGAGCACCGACAATGTTTAACAGAGGAATCTAAATAGTGAAAAATATTGATGATAGGATGGTCTTTTAAAAATAAAACAAAAGAAAAAATGCCCATAATTCAAATCACATTGAATTGCACATGTTTTGCAGATGAAGCCAAATCATCATGTTAAAGCATTTTTCAGAAAAATTCAAGCTACCTAGCTGGTGAATACGACTCATGTGGTTGATGTTTTAATATATGCCAAAATTCTACTTCCATATATTTATATGTAATTTATTGTATCAACATTTAAGAAAAATTAGATGATTTTTTATACGTCTTTTCCTCTTCTTTGTTGTCGATTTTCTTTCTTACTCATAAATCTCTATCCCATCTCAATTGAGATTCGATCCTTAAATTTAATTGACTCACTTAGAATTTATAGATGTAGCTATGACCCGTACTCAAAAATCAATATGCATGCATATATATTACAATTTTTCATTTTCGAATTACTTTGCTAAATAATTATGTTATACATTTCCTAAATTCTTGTGTGACGTATTCAGTGTACAACTTATTTGAATAATGAGTTTACTCAAAAATGGAAATTCCTAAAAAACTTTCATGCACTCCCTTTTTTTATGCTTTACAAATTCGTTGTTTAGGAAAGCTTTGGAAAATCATAAATGGTATTCCAATATGCATTGAAATTGGACCCAAAGTGTACTTCAATTCAAAGGAAACATGATGTACACTCTTACAAGATACATCACCTTCAAAGACTAAAACAGTAGTATATACTAATTTCTCATTCCAATATATTTTCATTATTATTACATACATTTCATTTCACAGATAATCTTTTTCAACTACATTCCAATATTGGCTTATTATTAATTAAGAAACTTATCGTTTCAATGATAAAACCCGATTTGTAATTAGTTTTCAAGAAAAAAATAATAATAAATCCACAAATAGTGAATCTCTGCCGGCTTTCAATATTTGGAAAATAAAAATTAAAAAAAAAAGGAAAATATATAATAAAATAGACTTCTGATATCATACGAAACGACAAATGGCACCTCACCTCTGTTTTTTACCTCTTTTTATTGAAGTCATTTCGTCACTTCTTATAAACAAAACACGCACCACACCTGAAAACACACACTATACACTTCTCCTTCTTCTTGTTGCTGTGCTGTATGTGACAGTGTGTGTATATATATACAGACAAAGTAAAAGGCTGTGCAAAAACACGCACGGCACCTTCAGACACGCACTCGTTCTTTCTCTGAATTCTGTCTTCCTCCATTTACTGTTTGGAAGACGGTAAGCTGACTTAATTGGTTATGAATTTTCAAAGCTTACTTTTCAGAATTTGTTGTTCTTTTTTCTCTCGGTGTGCTGTGATGTTACTGTATTGAATTTGAAGTTTTCTGTTCTGAATTTTTTCGAACATGTCTAATTGTTTGTGATCAGCATTAGCTGTTGTCTGTGCTTAATTTGGTGCGTGGAATTTGCTCTTCTACTTTGAGATTTATGCTTAATTTCCTTAATTTATCGGATCACGGATTCAATTAGGAAGTTGGTTTATGTGTTTGGGTTGTTTTCGGTGACAATTAGGTTGAAATTTAGTAAACTTGTGGAATTTACTTTTCTATTCCCAACTGGGAGCAGGGCAAAATTTCATTCGGCATGGGAACTTTATGGATATTGTGATCTGCTTTGGGTTGAATTTTCTGCGTTTAGTACCTGAAATCAATCTATTTGTTCGAATTAGTTTATATACCGAAATGTAGTCTAACAAATGAGAGTGCTAATTTAACTACCTGTCTTCTGTCTACTGGCCTTTCAACAATTTTCATTTGTTAAAAAGAAGTTTAGTTTTGCTAAGGATTTAGGCTAAGATGTGTGTTATATTGTAAGTTCAGAGCACATGTTGGTCTTAGTAAAGTAGTGTGATTTGGTAGTTGTTAGTGGTATCTATTATCTTTTGTTGTGAATCTAGTTGCTTTACATGGCACATAGTGTTCTTTACGGTTTTGGCCATTGAATAAGAAGTTCTTTATGGTTATGATATGATACTTCTGTCAGGAAATCTGAATTTGTTCGTCTGTGATCTGGTTTTGCAGATTGCCCGAAATTTTTCCAGTGCTGGAAATTAGATGCCAGTTTGCTTCAAATTTTGAGCTGTTGTAATTAAGAGTCACTTTGGAGTTCAAGGGAGAAGGATGACTACAAAGAAAGATGAAAACAAGGCACTCATTGATGTCGCCGCATGGGCATTTAATATTTCCACTTCTGTTGGAATTATTATTGTGAACAAAGCTTTGATGGCCACATATGGTTTCAGTTTTGGTAAGATTCATCAATTATCAGTTGACGCTTTATTTTAGGTTAATAATGAACAGCATTGTCCTAATTTCCATTTTTGCTTTTTGAGTGTTCTGACTCGTGAATTCAGTGAACGAGGTGCACCAATTAAAATAACTGTTCTTGGACAAGTTTAAGCTTCTCATGAGCCGTGTATGTGGAAAAATACATGATTCATTTATCTGAATCCATTGAAGAATCTTAAAAAAAAATAAAATAAAATAAAATAAAGTTCTGCCGCTTAAATCCCTGTAAAGCTTGCAAAGTTCCAAATTGCATTTGTGGTGGTGTAATGCTTTTGTAATTCGATGTATCTTAATCAAGTGCCTGTAATTTTTATGAAGAGGATGATTTCATTGAGTTGAGAAACTTTACATAGTTGACTGGAATTGCTGAAGCAACCAGACCAGCTAGGCCTGCAGGACAATGCTGCAGACATAGCACTATGACTTTTCCAAAAAGCTACTGTTGCGCTTAGATCCTAGGACTAAGGTCTTAAGGAATAGGTTCGTTCTTAAACATGTGTCCTGTTGTGCTTTGTATCTTCCCATAATTATTTCTTTATATCCAGTTGAAGATCCATATACATTCATCCAAGATTCTAGTGGAGCTCTGTTGACTACGAGGCAAATACTTTTTTAATTAGTGGGTTAGGTTGCATGAAGAAGAAAAGATGAAAGTTAGATTCATATAAACTGTTTCAAGTTTGTGCTCGTGTGCTAGTTCAAGAAACCACACTATTGGCCTTTGGAGGGTCAACCTAGTGCATCTTGGAACATTTGGCTTTGGCTAAAATCAAATGTCCCATTTATGTCTCATTTCTGTGGTAAAACTAATGCCCTAACCTTTCTGTGGCCTTTTTCTTTCTGCAGCTACAACCTTAACAGGGCTACATTTTGCAGCAACTACGATAATGACTGTTGTTCTGAAGTCACTTGGTTATATTCAGGACTCGTACCTTCCATTACACGAGCGTCTAAAGTTTGTATTGTTTGCGAATTTCTCCATTGTTGGAATGAACGTGAGTTTGATGTGGAATTCTGTGGGATTTTATCAGGTAAGTTCATCCAAACAATCTCTCTTCTCTCCTCCCCCCCGCCCCCTTTTTTTGGCATTAAAAAATCTTAATCTTGTCATGTGTTTCATCCTTAACTTTTCCTCATCAGATTGCAAAGCTTACTATGATACCAGTGTCATGCCTATTGGAAGTTGTGTTGGACAATATGCGGTATTCAAGGGACACCAAACTAAGCATTATGTTGGTTCTATTGGGCGTCGGGGTCTGTACGGTCACTGATGTTAGTGTCAATCTCAAGGGTTTTGTTGCTGCCTTTATAGCAGTATGGAGTACTGCTTTACAACAATATGTAAGTTTTCTTTGCTCCATCATATTCTTATTATTGTTTATCTTTTCAAAGAAAGGAGTAAAGTAGTGAAGTTAGCAAATTTGTCATTGGAATGAAGCATATTTTCTGTCACAATCGTTATGGTCCATTAGCTGTATGCCTCATGTTTGGGTCTAGATGTGCACATTTTGGGTATTTCTCGCTATGTACTAGTGTTTGTGATCAGCTTACACAAAATTGGATTATAGTGGTTTGTTACTGTTTTTGTTTTGTGGAGGCTCTATGTATGATATGTACTGTATCACAAGACAAATCTTATACTCCAGATTGTTTCTTTTTATATTTCGGTGAATTGAAGTTGATATCATTATTTAATCATCCTTTTCACATGCAGTATGTACATTCTCTACAAAAAAAGTATTCCCTGGGATCTTTCAACCTATTGGGACACACAGCTCCTCTTCAATGTGCATCACTTCTGTTGTCTGGCCCTGTTGTTGACTACTTCTTGACCGGAAAAAGAGTTGATGCGTTCAACTACACTTCAGCATCAGTGGTAAGCTGAGAACCTTTAAGTAGCATATTATCTGCTACATTATGTTTGTGTTTCTGCATTAATACTTATCATCAGCTGGCATGTCCTTATTCCTTGCTGGTTTCAAAGTCAAAAGTTTTTTCATCCATGGTAAATCTGAAAGTTGGTTTTGTTGTGTATTCTTCATCATGTAATGGTATTCCGATCAACATAGATTATGCTTGTTGCTTACAAAATCATGAATGTTCTGATACCTGAAGAATGGCTTGGAAGAAAATGTGTGTGTAAGGAAGAAATTCCAGTTACTCTATAATCAGAAAGGATGACGATGAATTTGAAAAACAAGTATGATCAAATTTGTTCGTGGTTTTATGTTTTTGTATAGAACTGACAGTTGTTTTCTACATTAAGGCTTTACAAAGATTAGAGTAAATGTAGGATAGCCATAATGAAGTGGGAAAAAATGTAAATCGGTCCTTGTTATGATAGATCCATATGTATAGTACTTCACATTGTTGAAGTTCATTTACCTCGGATTATCATTTTCTCCAGAGACTGAAAGCCCATATGACGCATGATTAGTTTTTAACATGTCATTTGGAGGTCTGGCATATATTGATCTGTTTCTGTTGTTGATACAGTTGTTCATAGCATTGTCATGTATGATTGCGATCGGGACGAATCTGAGCCAGTTCATCTGCATTGGAAGATTCACAGCCGTGTCATTCCAGGTGCTGGGTCATATGAAGACAGTGCTCGTCCTGATTTTAGGGTTCTTGTTCTTTGGGAAAGAAGGGCTGAATGCACATGTAATTTTAGGTATGATGATTGCAATATTAGGCATGATTTGGTATGGTAATGCCTCATCTCGTCCAGGAGGCAAAGAACGTGGACCAGCAGCCCCTTCAACCAATAACCCAGAAGAATTAAGTGTATTAGTGCAATCCACAGATGAGAAAGTCTAAAAAGTTTTACTGTAACACACCCGAAAACAATGAAGCAAATTTTCAGTCTTACCTAAAATTATTTATATAATCTTCTTTGAAATTCCTTTTTCTTATTCCACAAATATCTATTTTCAATCAGATTACTGGTTAAATGCAACTGTAGCTGTAGAAAATGCCTTTGATGTAGGAGTCTTATCCAATAAGTACGACTCTTATTTTAGGACACGCGGAGCATTGTTTCATGCACACAAATATGGATTAAGAAAATTTTGTCATATACTCTGTGTTCAGATCGGTTTCCGGAGACATGTCATTTAGCGAATTCGCTTCCTAACTTATTACTTTCCGAGTTGAGAGATGCAACATAGTGATAGATTTGTTCCAGTGTTGAAGACTGCGGTGAAAAGGTTTCATCAAGGAGGTAGATCGATCTTATAAGTATTGTCACCTTTTAAGAAAGAGTTAAACAGCAGCTGGGTTCCATCAACTCTAGGAACTGCCAAACAATTGACTGTCTATATAGTTCTTCTTCCATTCCGCTGAAGTAAATTAATTCAAAGAAGAAGAAGAAAAAAAAAAAAAAAAAGATAAAACGCACTTTTGGTCCCTAAATTATGGGGCCATAACTTCTGGTCACTATTAATTTTTTACTGATAAAAATAGTCACCATCTTTTTGTTTATTTAACAATTTTAGTCAATTCAACGGTCAACTCTTTTCTCCGTTAAGTTTTTCAATTTTTATTAATTTTTACTAAACTGAGACCCGCAATATATTTTCAAACAACAAAATCAGTCCCCTATATCTTTTTTTTTTCAATAATTTTAGTCACTTTAACAGAATTTTTAAAAATTTAACGGTCCAATTCAATTTTTCTTAAATCTTTATTTTTTATTTATTACTTAATGGTTCGTGGGTTCCACAGATCCTTTATTGAAGAAATATTTTATGGATACGGCTTTCCTAAGTCATTCGCAAACAAGTGATGGAATGTGTCAGAACCACGACTTTTACGATTAGTCTTAATGGGGAAAACTGTGGCTTTTTTTGCAGGCGGAAGAGGTCTGAGGCAAGGTGACCCCTTATCCCCGTTACTTTTTGTGTTAGCTATGGAATACTTGACCAGAAAGTTGAGGGAAGCCGTGGAGGATGCCAAGTTCCAATTTCATCCATTATGCAAACATATCAAACTGATCAACATATGTTTCGCTGATGACTTGATGATTTTCTGCAAATCAGATGTCTACACAATGCAAGTGTTAAGAAAGTTTTCAGTAAACACAGGATTAGTAGCCCATACACAGAAATCGGACATATATTTCAGGGGAGTAACAGAAGAACTGAGGAAGCAGTTATGTGAAGTGACTGGGCTTAGGGAAGGAAAGTTCCCAATGAAATATCTAGGAGTCCCACTAACTCCCAGAAAATGGAACCAGATGGAATGCGAGACGTTGGTCCAGAAAATAGCTGCCAAAATACAGTGTTGGAGTACGTCTGAGTTACGCAGGCAGACTACAGCTTGTAAACTCAGTCTTGATGGTGATGGACAATTATTGGGCCTCAGCATTTATCCTTCCCCAGAGTATTACTCAACAGATTAATCGGCTACGTAGAACGTTTTTATGGGGGATCAAGGAGAATGGCGGAAGTATGGCATTGGTGAGCTGGGAACAAGTTTGCAAATCCAAAAAAGGAGGGAGGTTTGAATGTGACAGATGCCAAAATCTGGAATGAGGCTGCATTGGTTAAACAGATTTGGGACTTGGCTTGCAGGAAAGAAAACTTATGGATCAAGAGGATCCATGAAGTGTACATAAAACAGAAGAACTTCTGGGATCTGCAACCTGCTCAGGATTCCAACGGGCATTGGAAGAGAATTCTGAAACTGAAAGATTGAATTCGAATAGAATTTGTAGATAATAGATGGAAGTATACGAATACAAGCATGTACACTACCAGCTCAGGGTACCGTTGGATGATGGGAGAGAGTGAAGTATTCCCAGCTACTCAGTTCATCTGGTCCAGGTATAATTTGCCTAGACATTCCTTTATTCTATGGTTATGTTGGAAAAACAGGTTAATGACAAAGGACAGATTGGAAAGATTGAATATCCCTGTCGCTGATCATAGGTGTATACTCTGTCAAAATTATGATGAGACGTCTGATCATTTGTTCTTTGAATGTTGTTTTGCCACTTAAATTATGTTGGAATTAGCAAAATGGTTGGGGGTGCATAATGTGTCAGGAAAACAAACTGAGTGGAGAGTCTCTGTCTTGAATGAATGGTGTAATACTAAGTTGAGAAGAAGTATTTAGTTTTCAGTAATAGCAGCTAGCATATATCATATATGGGAAGAAAGAAATACCAGACTATTTACTAATAAAAAGAGAATTGTGGAGCAAATAGTGCAGTTAATAAAACAAGAGATTCAGTGGAGAGCAGAACAATGTTTGGCGTGAAGGAAGACAGCTAGTGAGAAGGCAATTTTGGAACAAGTTTTCAGCAGTGTAGATAAAGTATATAGTGAAAGGTTTTTGCAATAGAAGTTCTGTAGTAGGGAAATTTTGGTTGTAAATATAAACTTCAAAGCTTTCATCATCAATATATATTTACATTTTACCCAAAAAAAAAATAATATTGAATAAAATATTATTAAATTAATAAAAAATAAAATTATAAAAAATAATAAAATAATATTAATATAATAAGAAATTTTTTTAAAAAAATTAAATTTTATTTTTCTAAAACTTTTTTAGCTTTTTTTTTTAAACCCAATCTCATGAGTGTGGAAATTTCATCCTATATTGTATCTATCCTAATAAAATGGTAGACAGCCATTTTAATACTTCGAATTGGGATCTCACTTTATTAATAAAATTATTCAATAATAAAAATAAATTAAATGTTATTTTTGAAAAATTCAAGAATTTATGCATCTTTTTAAAAGACAAATTTCTGAAATTGTAAACAATTTCATAGTGTAGTCTTTTATATAATAGTTTATTAAAAATAATTATAAATCTTAAACAATTTCATAATTTAGTGTTGTATTAAAAGTACATAAATTTTTTGAACTTTTTGAAAAACAATATTTTTACTTTTTATTTTTGAAAGACAAATTTCCGATTGGGACCATTCCAACCTATCTCAATTGAAAAGGTGAACTTGTTTAAAATGGAATTGAAAGATTACGTACAAACAATAATATCAGTATGATTTTACAATCTATAACTCTGTCGGTTCCCCATAAAAAAAATCAATTCAGAAAACAAAGACACATAAACTGGATTAATTATTTAAATTTAAAACTAATATGAAACTTAAATAGTATATATTTTGTATTTACCAATTCTATAGTAAATTTTAATAATAAAAAACATATAAATATCACACATTCAATTTTAATATTCCCTCTGTCTTTGTAAATATAATCCACATAAAGTTTTAAGATTTGTGCAGTATATGGAATTTTGTATTTTACGATCTAGTTTTTTGCGATAGAAGTGTAATATTTTTTTGGGCCAGTTATATTGTCAAAGAAAATATTAACTGCCAAAGCAAATCATCTCAAGGTTGCCTAAACTATCCTTCACTTGGTCAAACCCTCCTCTTCCCCATCTGGTTCTCTCTCTTGAAGTTATCAAAATGTCATCTCTGGAAGTTCAGATAATGTCGAAGGCTTGTGGTGACTCTGCAGGATCACTTCAACAAGGACAGTCTTAAGAAGGTCAAATGTACAGAATCATTATACCCCCTGAGTGGTTGTCCCTTTTGTGTTTTGATCACTGAAGGAACTTTTTCGTTTCATAACATAGCTTCTAACCCTTTTCAAATTTTCACTTTATATTTGTTCAAACTCTAAACACATATCTAGGCTTTGTTTTTTCGTACATGGACTCAACGTTGTTGCGCAATGAATTTCCTACCAAGTTGTATTTAATGGATTTCTTGTGAATATTATTTGTCTTGCATCCACCTGATTACCTCAGCTGGTATTTCTAGCATCTGTCGCAGATGGTATTAGTTTTGGGTAACAATTAAAGTTTGGGGGGTTCTTCCTATTTTAGCCTTTCATGTTACCTTGGCTAGTAAAGAGCTTTGTTCTATGTGTTGTTTTCGTGTTTCTTTCCCTATATTCATTGCATTATGCGCTTGCAAAACTATGGTTATCTTGTTCTCCTCTGTCGAATTAGCTCATTAACTCTAGTTTTTCTTCTTTTTCACAAATGAAAACTAATAATGCGATTCAGGTCTTGGAATGCATTCTGTTTTGGTAGGCTAGCTTCTACAAGTTTACGGCTATTTTCCTTCCATCTGCTGGAGTGTCTTAATTCAAAGAAAGAAGAAGAAAAATGATATCGACAGAAAAAGTAAAATATTTGAGTATATTTGGAAGAAATTTTGCATTGTCGTAATGGTACAGTCAACGATTAAAAGATACATTGATTTTTCACGTCAAAATGGTAAATTTCCAAGGATTTGCATAACAACCAACTTGTTTGTGTGATGAATTTCCTCCCAAAGTACTATGTTTAGTTAATCTTTTGCAAATGCTATTTGTGATGTAGCGGAAGCATTCAATATAGGATGAAACCAATCCAAAAAGAACCATAACATGAACACTTGATGGATGTCGAGACCACCAAAGAAAACCTACTTAATACTACAGACAGTGATAAGTAGAGTCGATTCTACAGGGATGGGTGAAACTCTAACAAACCCCAAATGATTTGACTCAAGTCGAAGAAATAGAAAGGAAAGATAACTTGCGAAACTGAGAAATTGACTCGACTAAGTGTTATGGGGATCTTAACCTCTCATCTCTCTAGTTGGTTACTACTTTTGTGGTATGAAACTGTGTTCAATCAGGCACAATAACACTGTAAGACCCCTTTCGATATTCCAAACAGCAGTCCTAGTAGCAACAAGCCAACTAACTTTTTTTGTTGACTCCAGAATACTACTAAGCCATTAAGATCCTAAGCCCGTATAATTTCCTCATGTCAAACAACTAACTCTCGTTGTTGTTTGAAACCTTGGGCTGTTACCCCCTCGACACTGGCTAATACTAGACATTCTAAGTTAGGTTTACCCTTTCGGGATTCCCCTAACATGCATGTGCAATTAGTTAAGTAGCTAAGTTAACTAAAATGATAATAAAAACTCTAGTACTAGGCACACAAATATCATCCAAGCATAACCATGTATATTAACTAGAGAGATTCAAGGGATTAAGACCTATAAACAGTTTAGCT